GTCACACTGAGCAGACTGCAAAATACATATTTCATAAGCAGAGACCCTCCACAGTAAACAGCAACTGAAGCTAATGTTCAGTTAGAATACTGAATGCTGTAATTTCAGAACGTAATGCAGTGTAGATTATTGTGATCTGAAACAAAGGGGAGCAGCAAATCAGAGATTAATGTTCATATTTCGTCGTTATGAAATGGAATTCTGTTTGTCTGATGAGAAAAAATTGACATGACCATGATAGCTGTCAGATTGCTTTTTTTAAAAAAAAATCCATCTGGCAGTTTATTCTTGACAGAGGTGAATGTGCCACATGTACATCTCTTGGGCTACACATTACTCCAGTCCACACTACGTGGTTGACTCTGTAATGCCCCATTAGTTAAATAGACTAATTGAATGTTCTCTACCAATAACACCAGTCGTTTAAGGCAATTGGAGATGAATAATCTAATCTTGCTCAGGTCACCTATGTGCTGAGCACATTCATTGGCGATTGGAATGTTTTGCAAGTTAAACCAGTTTAGAAGTCCCCTCTAAAAGGATTTTTGTATTAGAAGTAGATTCCAATAACTTTCACATAATGTGTCACTTTTAACCTGTGAACATTTAATAAAATTTTGAAGCAAGTAGAAGATTGAAAGGTGACTGCAAGTATTCTAGAATGCAAGATTGAATATTTTGATGTGGACATGTCCCGCCAACTTGCATTCCATGCATGATGAACTTAATTGTAAGTGAAGCAACTGTTAATACAGAACATGAGCAATCTAAAATTAGATTAGAGCAGATTATTTGTGAGCTGGATTTTAAAAGAAGATTTTTTTTTTTTTAAAACCTGTGATGAGCAACAATTTGACCAAACTATCCTAAAAGAAATCAAAAGTTCTGAATTGTTCTGACTACAGGATAATAAGCCTCATGATCTGTGTGGTGAAAATTAGTCTACTTATTTTGAAAAGAAATAACCCCAGAAATGTGGTAACTGGTCAAGATCCCAAAGAAAGGAAGTAAAAGGGGTATCTTTCATTTGAGAAAGTCGTTGAAAGGTATCTGCAAGTGCAAAAACCTATGTATCTTTGCTTTACAGACTAGGAATAGGAATTTGATAATCCACTACTGGGAAATAATGAAATGCTTAAATAGACTAGAAATTGAGAAGTGATGAAAAGATAACTCTGAATCTGTATGGATCATTTGAGCAGTGATGAGACTTGATAATGACTTGCCAGACTGCTTTTCAATCAAAAGAGGAGTACAACAGAGAGATATTTAATATCCCTAAATCTCTTCAAGTTGTATGCTGAAGTAATTCTATCAGGTTGCAGCATTGTTAGGTTGAATGTCAACAACTCGAGATACACGAATGACACATCTGATTGCAGGTCAAAAGAGGTGCCACAGAGCGTTTTGAACAATGTGCAAGCAGAAATGTGGGATATGGATTAAGAACTAATGTGAAGACCACCAAGACAATTGTGATAAGATGCCACCTAACCCTGGAACTAAAAATTGAAGTAAATGAATAAGTAATGGAACTATTGAAAGCATTCGCATACCCTTAGGCAGATTATTACAAGTGATGGGAGATGTGACTGGGAGATCTGAAAGAGAATTAAAATTACCAAGACCAGTTTTGTCAGAATGAAGGATGTTTTAACATCAGAGATCCTGAACGTAGATTTGCAGGTGGGTGGGGTTTGCTGATATGTTACAGCATATTGTGTTCCTCGCAGCCATTAACAATAAATAAACTATTAATGAGGTGAATGCTTTCATGATGTGGACATGTGGGAAGGGGGCGTGTTCAGTATATCTGCATAGAAAGACTAATGAAGAAATGGCTGTAGAAAAGAGGAAATTAGTGCATAATATCAAAGACAAAGATACAGTATTTTGGTGACATTGGAGCAGATGATAGACAGTCAATTATTGAAATCGAAGATGTAAGGAAAATCTAGAAGAGGGAAGCAGAGAAGAAAATAGGTGACCTGTATAATGGACTGGATAAAATTGATCTTTGCAGAATATATAAGGACAGAACTTGGATATTCATGCCAGTCAAGTTTCCTCAGATGAATTCGACATAAACTTCGAATGGGTTCTGATACGATTTGCATTTCATGGAACTTTCAAGATAACTGCAAGACTATGCTGACTTAGGAAGTGGACAAATTGTATACAAAATTGGCTTGACAGCAGGAGACAGAGGGTGATGGTGAAGGTTGTCTTTCACATTGGAGGTCTGTGACCAGCAGTGTTTCACAGGGATCGGTACTGGATCCACTTTTGTTTGTCATTTATGCAGATGATTTGGGTGAGAATATAGGGGGTATTGTTAGTAAGTTATAGAGTCATACAGCATGGAAACGGACCCTTCAGTCCAGCAAGTCCACGCCAACCATGTTCCCTAACTAATTTTCAAAGAATTATGCAGATGACACCTGGTGGTATCATAGACAGTGAAGAAGGATCTTGATGAAATGGGTCAATGGGCTGAAAAATGGCAGATGAAGTTCAGTTTGGATAAATGCGAGCTATTGCATTTTGGTAAAAAGAAACAAGGGCAGGACATAGAATTAATGGTAGGGCCCTGGGTAGTGTTGTAGAACTAGGGGTTCAGGTACATAATTCTTTGAAATTTGCATCACTGGTAGACTGTTTAAGAAAGAAATTAAGGCAAGCTTGCCAAATGCTCAGACCTTAGAGTACAGGAGTTGGGATGTCATGTTGAGGTTGTACAGGACATTGGTGAGGTCACTTCTGGAGTGCCGTGTGCAGTTCTGGTTGCCGTGTTAAAGTGAGGATATTATTAAACTGGAGGCGGTTCAGAAGAGATTTACCAGGATGTTGCCAGGAATGGAGAGGTTTGAGTTACAAAGAGAAGCTGGATAGGCTGGGCTTTTCTCACTGGAGCATAAGAGGTTGGGTGGCGACCTCTAAGGTTTTTAAAATCATGAGGAGTATCGATAAGGTGAATGGCAAAGGGATACCTTAGGGTGGGGGTGTTCAAAACTAGGGGGCATATTTTTAAGGTGAAGAGAAAGATTTAAAGATATGAGGGGCAACATTTTTTTTGTACGGTGGTTTGTGTGTGGAATGAACTGCCAGAGGAAATGGTGGATGCAGGTACAGTTATGGCTTTTAAGAGACATTTGGATAAGTACATGAATAGGAAACGTTTGGAGGGACGGGCCAAATGCAGGCAAGTGGGACTGGTTTAGTTTGGGAACATGGTTGGTGTGTTCTAGCTGGACCAAAGGGGTCTGTTTCCATGACACTCTGACTCTATATAAAGAATAATCTACCCATAGGAGTAACAGTTCTTCAAATTACTTTTTGACACTTATCCTGGCACAGTAAAATGCACACACTTCATACAGAGGCAAAGCATTGTATATAAAGGATCCTCATTCTTCAGTATTTTGTGATTACTGAGAAAACTGAACAAAACTGGCTGCTGTGGAAATACCAGCTGGAAGGAAACTTAAAGCAGAATGGAATTGTAATGCACCATTCTAAGCAAGACCTAGCCAGTGACGTAAAAGATTTGCATCAGAGATAGTAGGAACTGCAGATGCTGGAGAATCTGAGATACCAAGGTGTAGAGCTGGATGAACACAGCAGGCCAAGCAGCATCAGAGGAGCAGGAAGGCTGAAGTTTCGCGCCTAGATCCTTCTTCAGAAAAGACATAGACCAAGCCCACTAAAGTATTTTATAAGTATTTTGGTTTTTGAGGTTTGCAAATTTCTAAATCCTTAAACAATAGAGAAGAACTTTTTGGCCTTTAACTTGACAGTTCCGTGCTGTTAAGATTTTTGTTCATTTTAAGCTATTCCATCTTGTTCTCTAACTGAATTTCTGTATAATCCTTTTTTTCTCTTTGTCTTTATTTCCAGTTACTGTTGCAACTATCTTTCTGCTTTTTTCACAGCTGCTTCCAGTTGTCGTTTATTTTTTTCTCTCTAATTTCTCTTTGCTTTAAAATTGTTCAGTAAATAGACGTTGAGTTTTTGATTTTGGGTGTGGCAGTGATACCGACTCTTGTATCAGATTTCCTACTGAAGTTAACTTATTTTCAACATATTTAAAATAATGTAATGTTCCAGTTTAAATATAATTTGTTTGGGAAAGAACTGAGGGCGGTTTCAAGTTCAGTGATTGGTATATGCTGATTACTTCAGTTAGAACTACAGCGGTTTAATGCAAGCAAAATTTGATACTTAGCAGTGAACTTTAATAAGTTTGGTTTGTTTATAGTTTCACCCTGAGATCTGTGGTTCAAAGAATTGGTTTCTGTAATTGTTCATCAGGATATAGGGTGACTTGCAAAGTAAGCATTTATTGCCCATTTGAGGTCACGACATTACAACTGGTCAGAATGGGATGTCACCAGCAAAGCAGGCACCCTAATGTGTTCTCATTTGCATTAACTAATTAACTCATGATTGCTGGAAAAAGGTAGATGAAATGGATTAGAAATATTAAAAAATGATAAATAGTACATCCTAATGTGCTAAATTCACCAAATATTTTTATCACAGGAGGAGGACCATTGTTCCCAATACTGGTTCTTAAACCCATTGCCTTTTTTCCCTCATCCTGCAAACTTGTCCTGTTCAAGTAGGAAATAGATGTAGAGTCATGGAGTTGATATAGTTCTTGCGGCTAAAGGGATTAGAGGATATGGAGGGAAAGAAGGAACAGGATACAGAGTTGGATGATGAGCTCTGATCGTACTTGATGGTAGAGCAGAGCTCAAAGGCCCTGTTTCTCATATTTTCTATGTTTCTATTACATTTTGGAAGTTACCGTTGAATCTGCATTCACAGCAGTCCATTCAAGATTATTGCTGTGTTTAAAACTGTATAAAATGTTCAAATGTTCTCCTCTGTGTACAATCCTTATTTGCTAGATATTGTAGTTGCAAATGTTTCTTTGTATTTTTACCGTTGTCCAGATTCTTTCATCCACTTGAAGTGTGTTTATTTGTTTTTCTCAGGAGCAGGAAGATATCCGTCCTGCTCAGAAGACTAGCCATCCGCTACCTGATATCTTCAGCAGCATGCTTAAAGACACAACAGATGAACACCGAGCTCACCTATTTGATCTGAACTGCAGAATCTGCACAGGTATACAGCAAAGAAACATTTTAAGATTCATCATGAACACTATGATCAGTGCAACAGTTGTGTTGAGAACAAAACTGGAATTGTACAGCCTCAATAATCACTACGCTAATAAAATGCAAAGTATTATACAAAATATGTCTGATGTTAGGAAGAGCTACCCAATTAGTCTCTCTCCCATCTGCTGTGTCATGTAAACCTGCAGATTTTCCTTTCCAAGTACATAATTACTTTCACAACGAAACTATATATGGAATCAGCTCCCAGGACTGCTTTTAGGCATTTTTCCACATTATAACTTGGAGTCCTAATGTTGTCCAGCCATGGAGGGACCAATGGAACTATGTTCAGAGTTTTGCAGCATCTCTACCACACAATAGAGAAGTCTTGAACTTTTAGTTGGATTGTAGGCTCATGTTTTGCATAAATCTATTTTGGACTGATTGCTGTCCATCATACCCCATGAGCAATGCATAAATAATTGTCGTAACATTTTAGAAATAATTTTATGATAAACATAGGTTATGTCAGAAGATTCTATCCTATCTGGAGAAACCTCTTACGGCAAACAGTTTATCAGAAAGTTGGTATTTTGCCTGAAATATTGCATCCATGACATTGAATGAATAGAAAATTGAGAGTCATACACACAAAATTTAGAGGGAAGCTGCCACTGTGTGCATGTCCTTGGAAAGTTGCACCCTGGTATCAATATTGGTTTATAGTGAGTTGGTGCTCACCACATGGTGATAGGGCTTGTATGGTAAGTAGGATTCAGTTGGATCTAACTGTCCCATTTCACAGCAAATTCAAGATGTAGACACTACAGCTGTACCTTTAAGTTGTTGAATTGTTTGAGTTTTAAAAGCTTCGCTGGCTTGAAACCTACATCTAGTCAAGCAAATGGTTCCCAATGAATATGAAACTTGGTTAATTAATAAATCTTGCTGGCAACTAATTCCACTTTTTTTCCCTTTTGCCTCTGTGCAATGTGATTAAAGACTAACCAGCATGCTTATGAGCTTGAGTAGTGAATAATGGAAACATTAAAATGGGTATAAATTCAGCCTATTCGTTTCAGGATTGATGCCAGTTAGGTGGAGCGTAAACCATATCTGTATTGAAATTAACCCCAAACCTTTACTCATTTGTTGATTTGCTCCCTTCAGGAAAAGTTCAAGTCTCAGAAGATGAACCAATGCCTAAGAAGCCGAAAGTGGTAACCAAAAAAGCAGAACCAAAATTGAAATCAAGGCCTGATGTGAGATGTCAGCAAGAGCAAGACAAAGCAACAGTGACTGTTTCAATAGCAGGAGAGAACTCTGGTTTGACCCCCCAAGAAATGAGCTCTCTTCCCTCTCAATCAATAGTCACGACAGCTACCACTGTAGTTACTTCACAGCCTACTTCAGAAACAGTCAGCAACTCCTTCATGTCACCAGCTAATAATCCAACTCGAGTTGTCAGCACAGAGAGAACGTCTGTCACGATAGGTTCTTCCCTTACCACCTCCATTGTCTCTAAGCCTACATTATCAGCATCTTCACTTAGTACCGCGGGTTCCGACAAAGTGATGGGGAGAACTTCTGGTGGTGGAAAGGAGGAGGAAGAGGCACCAAAATCCATTTTGACATCTGCAGCTCCTAAATCTATACTGACAAAACCATCAACTGCACCTGAGCAAAACTATACAATATCAACAACAGTAAGGTGTGTAAGGCACATAAGGAGGAAACATCTTTAACCATCCAAAGTTCCAGTTAGAACAATGTTAGATTTACGTACAAAATAATCCCCAAGATGGGATGAAAGTGGCTGTGAGTGCCTTGTTAAACAGTTCGTAAACATTGCTGTAGATCTGAAATACATTTAGCCAACTGTATTATGTTTTTGTTTTAAGTGCAAACTCATTACAACATCAATCTGATGCAGATTCACACTCAGATTCACAATAAAGACTAGCAATAACCTTTGTCTCAAACGGAAAGCTAGAATTGAACTTGACACGAGCAAGACATCATAATACATTTTTCATAATATTTCAAAACTCATTTTGTGTCTCCTCGTGAACTTTCAAAAACAATTTCTGATCCATATGTTTTCTCTCCCATCCTAAATTCCTGTTGTGACTAAAACTCAACATGTATGATTTGGAGTAGTTGCCCTGAACACTTGTTAAAATACTTTTGGACTTGCACATTTTTGTTTTATTAGTTTTTCCAAGATATCCAACATAGGAATGGGAACAAGTCGTGTTTTTCCAGTGTTTTTTTTTATAACCCTTTGACCCTATTCAGTGAGATCATGGCTGATGTGTAACCTGTCTCCGGACTCCTTTGCGTATGTCCCTTAATACCTTTGGATATCTGATAGCTGTCAGATTCAAAATTAATTTTATTTGAGGAGAAGTGTTAGAAACTTACAATTTCTGTGTACAAGTCTTTCCTACTTTCAGTCCTGGAAGATTCGGCTTTTTTTTTTAGACTAGACCTCATTTTTCACTTTCCAGCCAGTGGAAAAATTTCTTTCTGTACCCCATCTGTCCCTTAATCAGTTTGCCCCTTAACCTCTTAATTTCCAGGAAATACAGCCATAGTTTGTGTAATCTCCTCTAGTAATTTAACCTTTGGATCTTAGGTATGATACCGATTAACTATGCTGTGCTCCTACCAAAGTTGACACATCCTTCCTTAGATTGATGCCCCAGAACAGCGCTCATTACCCTAGGTCAAACTGTTGAACGAAGTTGAACGTAGTTGTTCTGACACACAAAGGCTTGATTGGTTGGAAAGCATAATAACGAATATAATAACTGCCTTCTAAGGGAATTTTGCACTCGTGGATCAAACTCGTGAAAATGCTCCCTCACAACCAGTATACACATGCACAATTGGGAAGACCTACGTACATTTTGGATGTTGTCCACTCCACGTTGAAACAGATGTTTCAGATGTCTCGTGACCATTCCCAGGTTAAGCGTGGCCTCATAACAATTTTTACGTAAACTCTGTTGGGTAACTACCAACTGGGCAAATGAATGTCCACTTTTTGTTCCAACAACAGCATCATTGGAGTGTGCTAAATCAAAGAAAAGGAAATTGGAGTATAATCAAAAACCAGTCAAAGAAGACGATTTTCAGCAGGGTCTTAAAGAAGAATGGAGAGACAGAGTGGTTTGTGGTGAGAATAGCAGAGCTTAGAGTCTAGGCAGCTAAAGATGCAGCTGCCAAATGTGAAACGGAATGTATAAAAGAAATGCCAGCAAAATGGAAGACTTGGGAGATCTAGAAGGCTGGAAGCAATTTGAGATAAGGTGAAGCAAGACCATGCTGGATTTAAACTTAAAACTGGGAGGGGTACAGACAGAGTTTTGTTGTGCAGAGAAGCCCAAAGCTACTATAGTCCTTTCTAATGTGCCTGGTGAGATCCAATCTACACTTTCAGTGAAAAAAATTCGAAGTGTTGGAAATCTGGACCTTCCTTTTTGCAAAGGCAATGGCTCCTGGGCCAATTGGCGTTGTTCAGACAGGTAGTTGTTAGATCAGTTCAATTACAGTATCATCTGAGGTTGTCATGAAGAGCCCCACTGTCTCAACCATGCCTCTTGCCTGAGGCATGATGACCCTCAGGTTAGACTAACCACAAGTCAGCTCTGATGAGAGAGCACCGTGTGGTTCTCTGGGACCGTGGCAATTCTCACTGCATTTTGATCGATTTTGTTAGCTTGGCTATTAAGATATCAAAGAAACGTATAAAATTCTTAAGAGGCTTGACAGAGCAAATGCTGAGAGAATGTCTGCCCATGTGTGAGTCAAGGTCTATAGGCATAGTCTCAGAGTAAAGGGGTGCCAATTTATGACTGAGATAAGGAGGAGTTTTCTCCTGAGTTGAGAGTCTTCAGAACTCCTTGCCACAGAGAGCTGTGTGGGCAGAGTCTGTTTAGGACTGAGATTCTTGATCTGTCAGGAAATCGAGGGTTATGGGGGAAAGGCAGGAGGAATTTCGGATAAGCCATGATCCTATTGAATGGTGGAACAGGCTTGAGGGGCCAAATGGCCTATTTGTATTCCTATTTCTTATGATCTTACAAGGTGACAAATGGACTTGAGGTACAGATCAAATATGCTATAATTAAATGCTTCAAGGGATTGCATGGCTGCCTTCTTCCGTCCTGAGTATCAACATAGAAAATCAGTTCAATTAAAAGCCAGCAAAAGGAATCCAGAAAACTGAAGATCCATGAGTTTGACATCCATTGCAGGTGAAGTTATTGAAACCCTAGCTGATACATTTGTACATTCTTGAAAGCTAACAAAGAGACAGCAACGCTAAATAGGGTAAATTACAAGAGAATTTAGGAATTGTACAGACAGATGACTAGTGAAGTTTAATGCAGAGACAAGAAACCTCTGGGCTCAAGTGAAACATCAGGTTTGCACCATGCCTGATATTCCATCTCCATTCACTTTGGAGAGTAATAACAAGCTGGGTGCAAAAACCAATGTTACATCTGACCCTGTTAGTTTTGCAATCAATGGATTCAGTTAAAATTCTACTTATTAGTTCAGTGTGTGTGTGCTTAATGCATAGAATAGATTTCTTGCAGGGAAGTGGTGGAAGCAGTTACCAGTTTACACTGATTCACTCAGATGTAGATGAGATATATCTTTCATGATTCCAAAAGATCTTCAGTACTGAATTTTTCTCCACCCCTCTTAGATTAGTTAATTAAGATTGATTACTGTGTTTTGTCAACAATTCCATTATCATTGTATCTTGCAACTATCACGTTAATAGTAGACAAACTATTTGGACCTTGGTTATTTTTGTTTCAACAGTTCCTATGTTCTGATCAACATCTGAAAGATAAAAGGCAGGTTACCATATCACTTATCTTTCTTCCTCATTAACCTTTAATAGATTTTGCTGGACTTAAAAAATTAAGAGGGCTCAAATGGATTGCAAATTATTTAATATAGGTATTGTTGATGTTGAGCATGTAACCTGAATGCTCCAACAGACTTCATATCTGAATGAATATTGGTCTTAAAGTTATGAAGAAATGGATTCTGAGTAAATGTTATATCCAAGGCAGTTTGAGATGTTGTCACTGTTGTATAATGTTTACCTAACTGATACTATTTTTGTTCCAGGATTTCAGAAGCAAAGACCCCAGCTGAATTGGATACTTCATTGTTCCTGTCTCACCTGGATGCTATCTGGAAAGGATTTATCAATATGCATGGTGTAGCAAAGTTTGTCACTAAAGCTTATCCAGTATCTGGCTCAATTGACTATCTAGTAGAGGTATGAAACTCTTCTTATTCCCCCGACTCCTACCACATCTAATAAATCTTCTCCCCATTACAGATGGCATTGACTCATTGCTGATGTAAAATTCGACAAGCAGCGCATTATTGAACTGACCAATCTTTCTGTCTTGGGCCTAGATGGTGAATATCCTTTAGACAGAGGCCCATGAAAGACGTCATTTTTAAGCTCCATCCTATACTGAGCCTGTGCTGAAAACTCAATAGTTGAGCTGAGCTGCCTACTTGGGCCTGACAGTCAACCTGAATATCACTAGGTTGTGGTGAGAAAAGATCCCTTGAAAGTTCCCATTCCTGACTCCCACCTCACCAGCCTGCAGTATATCGCATCTTGAAATTAGATGAATATGCTGACGGAGGAAAATCCTGTAGCAGTTTGGTAACAGCTGGACTAGAGGAACCTTCAGTCTGTACGTACTGCTGTGTTAAGACTATTTAATTATCCCAGCCTATTCTGCCGTGAAGGATGGGAAGAAATGGGCTGGCGAGGAAATCTAATCTTATGTCAAAATTTTAGGACCAATAAAAAATTGGATATACTTTTATCTTAATCGTCTAAGACACAAATACACAAAACACTAATCAACTCTTCAATGTTTACAGAAACTGTGGAACCTAAAAGAATATTTTCTAGTCTGTGCATGAGAACATAGTGTTTGCACTCTGAATATTTACCTTAGAGGGCTTTGGAAACTCCATCTTTGAGTAAGCTTAATATTGAGATTGGTAGATGTTTGGTTACCAGTGGCTTACAAGGTCATGGATTGGAGTCAGTGAATGACATTGAAGTGTTTGATCAGCCATGATTCTAGTGAGTTGTAGGACAGGCTCAACTGATAAAAGCATTCAATGTGAATAATTGTGGAAACTGGAAGCTAATTTTGAATTTATTCATATCTCAAGTGAGGCAGTGTTTAGTACATCTGTTATGTTTAGGATGACATAAGTACAAGGTCTGTTGAGATAGTTGGGTGGTGAAACTACATTTTCATTGTGTCATTCAGCACCAACTTGAACTGTATTCAGCCAGGTAACTTAACAAACTTGATACTTTCCCTGGGTCTTTGAGTCTGTGATTAAAAATTTGTTTGGATTTCCCCAGAAAGACCTCAGTGGCTTAAGCCTTTGATTATGTTTCTTCTGTTATATGTTTAAGACCTACCAGTTACAAAATGGCCCCAGAGTAGAAAAGAAAAAGACATGGCTATTGATACTTCTTAAAAAAAAAGTGGTTGTGAGGTTATTAATCTTCAGCTTGAATCACGTCACCTTTTTCATTGCCTTCGCTGTAGCAAGTTATTTAAATACTGTGGCTATAAGAGTGAGTCAGAGAGTGGGAATTCTGCAGTGAGTAACTTGCCTTCTGTTTCCCCATTACCTGTCCACTATCTACAAGGGATGAGTCAGCAATGTAATGCCACTTGCCTGGATGAATGCAGTTCCAACAGCACTCTAAGCTCAACACGATTTAGAACAAAGCAGATTTCTTGGTTAGAACCCTATTCACTGCCTTCAATATACACTCCCTTCACTACCAACGCACAGTGGAAACACTCTGTAATGTCTTCAGGATGCACTGCAGTAATTCACCAAGACTACTTCAGTAGTGGCTTTCAAACTTGTAGCTTCAACCGTCTAAATGGACAAGGGCAGCAAATCTGTAGGGACACCATCACCTGCACGTTCACCTCCAAACCACTCACCACCCTCACTGGGAAATATATCACAGTTCCTTCGCTGTTACTGGGTCAAAATCCGGGAATTCCCTCCCTAACAGTGATGTGGGTGTCCCTACACCCCCAGGACGGTAGCCCTTCAAGTTGTTAGCTCAGCACCGCCATCTACAGGGCAATAAGATATAGGCAATAAAGGCTGTCTGAGCCAGTGATACCTACATCCCATGAACTGTCTGTTGTAACCCGCCTTATGTTGCAGAACGTGTTTTATTTTGTGCATTTAAAATATATAACTGTTTGCATGTATTTTTAGGATTTGCCTGATACAATTCACATCGGTGGCAGAATTTCACCCCACACAGTCTGGGATTACGTAGGAAAACTGAAGTCATCTCTTTCCAAGGTATAGAACTATAGTTTAGTCAACATCATTGTTATAATCTGATAAATGTTTTTTATTGTTATGTGAAATTTATTACATCCCCTTTACTTTTATTCCATCTATAAAAGAATTGGAGATTTCCAACTGTTCACAGTTGAATTCGTTCTTCTATTTCATCTGTCATGCAAAAATGCTTAGTCTTAAATTGTTTTACATTTCTGTGGAAAGTAACAGTTACTGAAACTTTTCAGCTGATCTTAAAAGCATCTATTCAACAATTTCTGAACCATTCTCTTCTGACCAGCACAGTGAGCCAAAAGCGTTCTGTATGCATTATCACTTCCACTGGTTAGTAGCTTTAGAAAACTGGTACACAGATTTGAGATTGTGATAGTATTGGTGCCTTTGTAATTGGAGATCACCAATAGCAGATTTCTTGAGTAAATTCTTCGAAATGACCTAGCTGCTAGGACTGTAAATCTACAGCGAAAGTGTGGTTCTGTTCCTGAAAATCCTGATTTTAAATGAAGTTCCCACGAATGTTCCTGTTCATCGCATGAACTTTAAGAACATGGGAGATCAGCTAGGCAGGCATAACTTTGAAGATCATGGACAAAGAATGGAATGTAAAAGACCCAACCCTTCTGAACCAATGACAGTCACACTTCTAAGACATCAGAGCTCTAGCCTTGGATTTTACCTGGATCTTGAATGAGAACGCAAGTTCAGGAGCGGGAAGTGGTGTATGAGTGAATCGGTGATGGTGGGTGGGTGGAGTGGAGGGGAAGGGGCTGACAGGGAGGCCACAACTTGAAGGTCAATAAGGGGGAAATGGCCACAGCTCTGTGATTTGAGGAAGGCATGAATCAGATTGCACAGGAAGCAAGGTTGAAACAAATCTTGTGATGCCCAACAAGATTGCAAGCCTCATTAAATTATCAACGTTAAATTGTAACAGAATTAAATAGAGTGACTTTAAATAACCAAACTTTCAACCTGGCTGGATAATCACATGTAACAGCATACTGGTTGGATTTGAAATTCCAGTTTACAGCAGAATTTCTACTCTGCATCTCTTGTGAGCATCTAATCTCTGCCTTGCGTCTAAGATGCATTTTGTAGCCCACTTAATATCTGTCATGATGAATCAGCATTTTTTTTCCTTGGAGTTGGAGAGTGTAAAGAATGCTCTTTGTAATAACATCCTCTGAATGTCAAAAATTCTAAACCAGCTAAAGGAAAAAGCTAAAACTGTTGACTTTCATTCCTCTGCAAGTTCCTGTCTGTAATTATGTCTACATGCATCATAGCAAACAACAACCCCCCCCCCCCCCCCCCACCACCACCACCACCACCATCACCACCATCAGCAGTTACTGGTTGCTGAAGGATGGTAATTTCTGATGTATGTCATGCTTGCAGTGTTTGACTGTATGATGATGCCATTGTGAATCTAAAATTAGGTGATTCATGGAACTGATGTTAAAGAAAATTGAATAAAAATACACGTGAGTTCTTTAAGGGCTAAACTGTCATTCTCAAGTAATGATTAATAAGTGTGTATTTAGCCAATTAAGCTATTTGGTGATTTCATGATACATTAATTAAAAATTGACCAGAAAGTTGTTTTATATGAGATCAGTCTTAGTGCTTTAGGTTTGGTGATTTTTTAAAAAATAACACATGCATTTATATGAGATAACCAGGTGTAGAGCTGGATGAACACAGCAGGCC